GGATAAGGCGTGTTGGGGGGGGGGGGGGGGGGGGGGGGGTGTTAAAATTCAAGCTAGAATCTTAAGTAAAGGGATCTAACAGGCTTTTTTTCAGGATTTTCCTATGCCCACTGTAAGGTTTAGAGAAGATTAATTAAGATATTGAACACAATTTACTGTCCCTTCTATACATAATTTAAGACACCTGAAAGAGGTTAGAAATCATAAAAGATGGCTGCCTAAAACTCCTTTGGGGGGGGGGGGGGCGAAACACGGAGGACCCCTTTTCCTGAAAGTGTTTTACATTGTTCAACCGCAACTATTAGACACTTCATAATTATGGCCATTAGCTGTTTTGTCATCTAATGGCATTATCATAATGCTAAAGAGAATGGAGACCACAATTATCTCAGCAGCTGCACACAGTCATCTCCCAATTAAATACATTCAGATGACAGCTGTTTTCCCTCCACTAAAATAAAGTTGGTACCACTTACCTGACTACCTAAAGACTCTAGAATCCTCAAATGTGGAATATAAGCAATCAATCTTGAATTGACTTAAAATAATAGTTACTTAGAAATACAATTTAAAATCAGAATACCCTAATTAGATCATAAAAACTGATTTTTATCTAAGTCTTCTGTCTTAGTATTTGGACCACAAAATATCTTCACCTCTAGCTGTTATAATAAGCATGTATATACGCATGTAACATATATATATGTGTGTGTGCGTGCATACAATGAACAGACACCACGATTCTGCCTGACCTTATTACCTACATTTAATATATGCAAATTGCTCAGGGGTCATACAAGACTGCAACATCTCGATTAAAAAGTACTGATTTCTCACGAAGGAACTTGTTGAGATCCTTGTGCACGACAGACCTACCATGCGCTGGCTCAGGGTGGATGCCGTGCTCCATAGTGAATATTACACCCAAAGCAGTTTTCAACTTGCCTACAGCTAAGCGGCTTTAACATCTTCCAAAAGTCATCGTCCCCCTTCCTGTCTAAAAATAACAGCGATGACATTTGTACACGACAGGACAGGGAGTTAGAGCAAGGGCAATAAAAGGGACAAGGAAAAGGAGCATCACCTGTCTCTCGTTCTCCTCCAGCAGGACTGCAACACGGGTAGCACACCTATTCAGTCAGAAACAGATGCTGTGCAGCGAGCTGGAAAATCAGGAGTCCCCGCACTAAAAATCACTAAAGAACGGACGACACTGTTACCTACTTCATTTCCATGCTCAGAATGAACAACTCATTTCAACTCCCAGGGTAACTTTCTGAAGAAAATTGCCTGAAGCCAGATCCTGCTCTGCCTGACAGATGTCCCTAAGAGCTCCCGAACCGAAATACAGCATTTCTGTTCAAAATGAGAGAAACTTCCCCCCGGAGCGTGGCTTTTTCTTGTTTGTTTTGCTTCACACCTATGAAAAAAAAACACCTCAGAAGACCGCATCTGCAAGCCGTCCAAGCCTTGAGCACCGGGCCGGTCTTGGAAAGCTCCGCCGCTGAGGAGACCGCCGGGGCTGCCGCTCTCCCGCCTCCGCGGCGAGGACGAGCCCTGTGAGGGGAGGCGGGGAGGGGGCACGGCGGCAGCGCGGGAGCGGTCACCTCACGCTTCAGGCACGGCGGGCAGGCGTGAGGGGCAGCCCGGAGAGCCCCTCGCACCGACGGCCGCGCCGGGAGACAGCTTCCCCGCTCCGGGCAGCCGCGGCTCGGCGCGGACAGCGGGGCCGCCACGGCTGACAGGACAAGCCGCTGTAACGGGAACCCGGCGCGGAGCAGGTGGGCCCGGCGGGCGGCGGGGCGGGTACTCACACGGTGAAGTGGTACACGAAGCACTTCCAGCCCGTGGGCCGCTCCAAGAAGTTGTAGACCCTGCCCTGGACGCTGCTGCGGCTCAGCAGGGGCTTGCGGAGGCTGTAGATGGAGACGCGGGGGTCGAGGCTGACGGGGGGCCGCGGACAGTCGGCGTTCACCACCACCACCTCGCTCTTCAGGCGCAGCGGCCGCTCCGGCTCCGGACTGCAGCCCGCCGGCGGCTGCCCGCCCTGGGCGGCGGAGAGTGGGGCGTAGTGGGCGTTGGGGGTGCTCTCGGCCAGCTCCAGCGCCGAGGGCTTCTTACCGGGCGTCATGCTGCCTTTCCTGGGCAGCGACAGCCGGCCCAGGCTCCGGCTGTTCTGCTCGCCCGGGGGGGAGCTGGAAGACATGGCTGGGGCAACTCGGGGAGGCCGGGCGGCGCGGCGGTGTCAGGGCTGCGCTGCCCCAGGAGCTGCGGGCCGGCGCCGGGCGCCCTCTCCCCCCGCCGCCGC